TATTATTGTTATTATTATTATTATTATTATTATTATTATTATCATTATTATTATTATTATTATTATTATTATTATTATTGTTGATGAATTGCATGAATACCTAATAAAATGAAAACAAAATACCAACCGTTGTTTTATTTATTGGTTTCGTGCAGTTTTTTTCATTCATTCATTCACTCACTCATTCATTCATTCATTCATTCAATTCGTTCCTCTGTTTCGGCCTTTATCGTCCGACTACTACTTGTAACTCCTCTACCCTTACTTTTGGGGTACTTCAGGGCTCTACCCTTGGCCCTCTCCTATTTATACTCTATATTTCTGAACTATCTCGTACTATTAATAATTTTTCTCTCCCTAGTCAACTATATGCTGATGATTCTTATATTTTTACTTCTTTTCCTCCATCTAATCTCAATAGTGTTCTTCATAATCTATCTCTATGTCTTTCTTCATTTATCGCTTGGTCTGACTCTATGTGTCTTAAACTTAAATAAATAAATAATCCTTCTAAATTTGAATTTGTTTTAATAAATCTAAACGCTCTATTACTATTCCTTCTATTATTTTGTTATTACTACTACTAACTACTACTACTACTTCTCTACTATTAATAATAAAATTAAAACAGAAAAATTCTTACTCTTTTAGATTAAAAATTTTTAACAACAGTCATTCAAATATTTTATTTAGTACTAAGACTAAATAATAATCATAATAATTATTATTTATTTTATTAATACTTTTCATATTTATCTAATTGACCATGAAATCTATTTTTTAAATTAAAATTACATTTTTTTTGATCTAAAAGTTTATTTCGCAGCGTTTGAGCCGAGTACAATGCCATTTAGTAAATTAAATCAATGTGCTATCGTTGAGAAAAATTTCTACAATTTTGAAGAAAATAAAACAACGATGACTACAACAACAACAATAACTATAATAATAACTATAATAATAACTATAATAATAACTATAACAATAACTATAACAATAACTATAACAATAACTATAATAATAACTATAATAATAACTATAATAATAACTATAATAATAATGATAATAATAATGGGAACATTCTTTTATTTACCGAAAAACAAAATCCAAATGGAATCCATCAAAAATTATTAATTATATATTAGAGTGTAAATAAATAAAATATAAAATGAAATATAAAATAATAATAATAATAACTATAATGATAATAACTATAATAATAATGATAATAATAAGATGATGATGATGATAAGAATATGGATAAAAAAGTGAAAGACAAAGGTTGGCTGTGTCATGGTATACAAGTTGCGGTTGCTAACAGATGTTGTAGACTCGTAGTGGACCCGTCTATAGGCCATTGATTGGCAAATTAATATTTAAATTAGCGGGTACTATACCCAATCAAACTAAGTTGTGAGTAAGGATACCTTCTCTGTATTCTGCCCGTTGTGTTCAAAATGGTATCACGGGATTCAATAGGTATGGTTCGGTCTTGCAACTAGACATCTGCCTACAGATGGTTGCAACAAACTTATGATAAGTATTATTACTATTGTTATTCCTATTATCATTGCTTTTTCAATAAAATCATTATTATCGTCGCGTCCTTTCTAATGCATCTTTTCCAAATCAGATGCGAAAATAATTTTAAATATAATTCTTTTAATAAAGAATAAAATCGATAATAAAAAATAACAACAATAATAAAAATAAAGAATTAGACAAATTTTTAAAAAATACTTGAAATGAAAGCGTTTTTAACCAAACCCAATTTAGCAAAAATGTACATCAATGCCAATTAGAATTATCATAGTATGCAGTACAGGCATATCGATGAGTCTATTATGTAGTTTTGTATAAATACCAATAGAGTACCTAAATTAAAATATTTGTTGTATTTGGTTCAAATGCAATAGGCCCAAGTGCGTAAACTATTTAGTATAATTTTAAATATATATTTTTAAATGATTTTTTTTTGTATGATTGTTTAAAAAGTTAACTTGTCCCTGAAATGTTTGCAAAGCGACATTCAACTGGGCAAAATATTGAGAACGTGAGCTGATAACTTTTAATAAGTTTTATTATAATTTATAATGTTATTTATTCATTTTTACATTTTTTAAAAATAAAAAATATAGAAATTAAATAGTTATAAATGTCATTTGTTATGGTATTTCAATAAATTTTTTAAAAAGGGATAGAAAAATTCTAGCCAATCGGAATGCGGGCCGTTCTTGTGGTCTTTGTTTTCGTTGGTTCGATTGCAAATGTTGCTTACCAGGTGTCATTTCTAATTGGTTGTTGAAACATCAACAACAACAACAATAACCACACAACAACTGCAACAATAACGTCAACTCCATTACGTTAACAACATCAATAACATTAAAAACTCAAGCCAGTTTATTTTCAACAGTGAACACCAAAACAATAACATCAACACCATGTACAAAATAATCATGATTTTACAAAAACGCTAACAACAACGTTAACAACTAAATTATCAACAAATTTTAAACCTAATTAATTAAATAATTAATTAATTAAAAGCTTAATTAATTAACCAGTTGATAAAATTTTATTTCATTCAGTCGCACGGCCACTCATCTAGCTTGCCAATACCACAAGCCGCTGGTGTTACCTGTGTGGTGAATTAATTTCAACTTTTTTTTTTATAAATAATAACATTTTCTGTTTATTCAAATCAATTGCAACCAATTGATGATCTTGTGGGAAGCAATGTCTGGACTTGATGTGATGAAGGATAAGAAAAAAGCGTCAAAAGAAG